TAAAACGTCCCCCACAAAAAAGTCACTAATAATTCCAAGAACCAGGAAAATCCCAACTTAAGTGGAAAAAAAAAAAAAAGACAATCAAAAGATGTCACACCCGAAGACTCATATGTTGGAATTAACAAGGATTTTTAAAAAGCCATCTTAAAAATGCTTCAACAAGCAATCATACACAAATGCAAAAATAGTTAAAAAAAAATCTCAGGAAAAAAGAAAAGATATAAAGTACCAAAAGGAATTTAAGAACTGAAAAGTACAATGATAAAATAACTGAAATAAAAACCTTACTAAATGTGCTCTATATCAGAGTGGGGATGACACAGGAAAGTGTTAGCAAAGCAAAGACAGACCAATAGAAATTACCCAATCAGAACACCAAAGAAAATACAAAAACAAACAAAACATGAGCAGAGCCTCAGAGACCTGTGGAATAATAAAAAAAAAGATCTAACATTTGAGCTATTAGAATTCCAGGAGAAAAATTTGAAACTGAAAAAACTTTTAAAATAATGATGCCAGAAAATTTCCCACATTTGGCCTAAAGTACAGACCTACAGACAGATTCAAGATACTAAGCAAACCTCAAACAGGATAAACTCTAAGTAATCTATACCAAAACACATCAGAATCAAACTTCTAAAAACAAAGAGAAAAATACTGAAAGTAGCTGGAGAGGAATAACACATTACCTACCTATAAGGGAACAATGATTTGAATGACAACAGAGTTCTCATTTGAAACCAGAGGCCAAAAGGAAGTGGCCTAACACCTTTTTACTTGCTGAAATAACTGTCAACCCAGATTTCTATATCCAGTGAAAATACCCATCATGAAAGAAAGGGAAATAAAGACATTTCCAGAAAACTAAGATAGTCTGTTGCCAGCAAATCTACCTTTAAAAAAATGGCTAAAGGACATTCACCAAACAAAAGGAAATAACAGGAGACTTGGAATTGCAGAAAGGAGTAAGAACAATAAAATGAGTAAAAATAGAAGATAAAGAAATTAACAATCATAAAAATAGAAGATAAAGGAATTAACAATCAGTTGATATAAAACTATCATTAGGCTGGCAAAGATTAAAGAGTTTGACAATATGTGGTTTGGAAAGGGTACAGGGAAATTAACTCTCCTGTATTTTAGTGGCAGTGTCTACCAACATTACAAATGCATGAACCCTATAATCTGTTAATTCCATTTCTATGAATTTATTTTACATGATCAACATTAACATACATGTAAAATGATAAACAAAATGTGGGAATGGGAACTGATGGGTGGAGATGAGAAGAAGACTTTTCACTATCCTTTTATGCTTTCTACATTTTGAATAAAATGAACACATTAACTTAAAAATTGAAGTAATTTTAAAACTTCCAAATCTCACAACTGTCTTCATTCCATTCTCCAAAAACCCCACTTCCTGCCTAACCATTTACATGAAATCTATTTCAGAGTATTATTTACAAGCATACAACTATCCTTAAGAGAAAACGAAAAAGAAAAAAAAAGGATAAAATGAAACAGTAGTGCAAGCAAAACCACAATGCAAGTTAAGAACCATAATCGATGAAAAGGATTACAAAGAACACTTTTAAACTCTTGGGCCACTTCTGGTTAGTTTATTTTAGATTATTTAGATTATGAAGTTTGCTTATCACTTTGTAAAAGAATTTCCCAAACCTGTTCACTGACCTTTGTTGGTACGGGTAAAACTACTGGGTACTGACTTTACTAGTATGATGTTAAGGTGAAAAAAACTTCCAGAACATTGTACTTGTAAAAGAAAATACTGCCTTACTAGTTTTTTGAGAGCTATAAATTTTGTACCAATGGATTTCACAAGAAATCTTTATACTGGAGAAAACTTCTAAGCCATCATAAAAATGAGATTTGAAATAAAGAATAGAACTATTCCTAAAATAAACCTCTTCTAGATGTTTTTATTTCAAATTTTTGAACAGTTTCCTCTTTTGAATAGTTTCTAAGTTTAACATCCCACTATTTTCCAGAAAAAGTGCCATCATCATGGCTCTTAATTCCAGAATAAGGACACTGAAATGGAATCCTGTCACCATACAATTGAGTCTTTGATGTGCTTTTCCACTGTTTCCTGAGTACAAGATTCACCAGCTGCTTCCTCTATTGTGCTCTTCTTTCTGTACTGCCAGTTATTTGTTTTCTACCACATATACCATTTATTGCCACGTTACCACAACTCAGCACTTGTGACTCTATGTACTCTGTAATATATCACTGGCCCCATATCTTACTGCATGGCATGGTGGACAGACTTCTCTTTAACAACTGCAGCCAACTCTAAAGAGACCAGCATTACCTGAGATTATGCCAACTACTGAAAAAAACAGGAAGTACCTTAATCAATGTAGTGGTTTTGTGGTCTGTGTTCTATCCTCCACTCTGCCCCTTGATAGCCTCTACAGGGATGCAGTTTTGATTAGCCTCCAGTGTTCCACCTCTGCATCTGTTGGAAGGATCTTCCCCTTGACTCTGAACCTTCTTAGGCACATTCAAATATTCACAAAAAGTATAATTTCTAATCTCACAACAGCAAAGGGAGAAAGGCCCAAGAAGATTGCCCAGACTCACCAAGACCATATACAGGTGGGCCCAGACAGTCAGATTTCTTCAGAAGTCTTTTTGTTTTCTTTCAGGAAGTTAGAAAAAGAAAAAAGAAGATTCTGTATTTATTTCTTTTTAAACTGTGGTGTGTATGTCTCAAACAAGGTTTTAAATAGAACAGCACTGTGTTGCATAAAGCTTTTTGACTGTCTCCAATTAAAAATTGTAAGGAGGCGATTTATCAAACTTACAAATTGGATGTAAGACACAGCTCTGCCTAAAAAAAAGATTATATAGATGCACAACAAAATCCATTCTGACCAATGCTTTAAATGGTAACTGAAGGACTGTAAGGTAACAGGTGTCAAACTGTGTGACCTCAAACTTAAAAGATCTTTTCCTCTTTCCACAGTGTGATCCAGAACAGAGCAGGCATGGAAGGTATGGCTCAAAACAAATTTCATCTTTTCAATAACTCCTGGGCCCACACTAAAACGGGCCAATCTCCCCCAATTGATGAAACTGATCAGGGCAAGGTATCTTCCTTAGTATGAGTTTGAGGAACACATACTAGAATGCTACATCAACTCTCAGCACAACTTCCTGGCCCCAATAGCATGGGCAAAATTATCATTTATCACTTCAGGTGAAAATACATTATAAAGACATAATAATACTCATTCACTTTCTCATCCTTTCAGCAAATATTCAAACACTAACCATTTAGTACCAAAAGAATCTTTACATCAAATTTATTAGATAGTCTACAGTCACTTTTATGGTTTAAGATGTAAACCTTTTAATGATCTTGATCTCTTTCTAAGTATGTAAACCACACAGCATCCTTAACTTTTATAAGCAGAGAATAGGTCCTAATACAAAATCCTTAAAGACTACAAAACATAAGGAAAAAAAAAACCCAGTTAAGTACAGAATAAAAGATGAAGATTTCCTAGATGACATGGGAAGAAACAATACCCTAAATCAAAATATTTCAATTGTACCAACAACACTTTGAAGAATTAAATAGCAACAAGTTCAGGGTCTAAAATGTGCAAAAAATAACACAGACTGCATTTTAGTTTTCATTTTTTTAAAAAAGGTAAGATACTCAATATCTCATTCTTTCTGAATCATCATGAACACAACACACACATAACTATTGTTCGTAAGGATAGAAAGCCAGACTCATGAACATCAAGAAGTTAATTAAACAGTCCCATTATGAGCTGCAGCATATTCCTGCAATGATTTACAAGGTATATATTTGATGCCATAACAGAGAAGAAAATGATATCATCAGAATCTAAGTGGAATGCAGAGAAAAAAAAAATTCAAAGTAAGCCTTCTCCATGACTATCTTGGGTCTTCTTAAATTAAAGCAAAACAAAATGTGCGTATTTCTAAATGTTACAAAGAGCGTTATCAGTATACCTAAAACTTGAAAGCAGAATGTTGTACTTAGGGCATTCAACTTTGGAAGGAATATTAAAAGACTTTAATGAGTTAGTAACACCTAAAAGAGAAAGCTCCAGAGGTGGAGCCAGTAAACTTGGGCTTGAGGCCTACTTAGTTCCCTGATGTAGTAGATAACAAATCTCCTTGACTATATCCGTAAAATGAGTGAAGTAATACTATAAGAGTCTTGTGAGGATAAGAAAAGATTACAGATGATTCTCACATTTGTTAACCATGAAAAACCATGAGGTATTGATATTATTTGTTATTTCCTAGACTTTTAAGAATAGAAAGAATAGGTCACTTTAATATTTTATGGCTTTCTACACAGGTTTAAGGTAATCTCACCTCATTACTTTTAGAGTGCGAGACTCAATATCTATAATAAACAGTAGCAGTCACATATTTCATATATAATATAAAGCCTTAAAATATTTACTTAAAACCAAGTTCTTACAATTTTAGATAATATCGTATCTAATCTACCAGTCATGTTAACTTCAAATTTTCTCATCTAAGTAAAAGAAGTTTCTCAAACACTTCAGATGCTTCTGAATCAAAGCATTGCATGAAGGGGAAATAATTTACTCCAGTACAGTTTCTTAGTCTATGTTAATCTCTTCAGTTGTCATCCTCCTCCCACTGTCTTTTTCCCTAGAAAAGTATTTATTTACCATATTATTTAGACACCTACACTTTTGAAAAAACCCCAAAAAACCAAAGTGGAAACAGAAGGACCAGTCACCGCAAATTAATAACAAGGAAAGCTAAGCAGGTCTATGTTAATGAACAGAATATGAAGTAAGATAAAACACAATTAAAAACACAAAAATATGTTTTAAAACACAAAACTTCATGTTTATATTCACTTTAGTGTAAATTTCATGCCAACTAATTAAGAGTGTCTCTGTCTGTTTTGTATGCATAAGTTATCAGAAATATATACTTGTTTTTACCTTTAGATTTGGGAATTAGCTCTCCACAACTGAGTATCCGCACCTCAGCAAATGGTTTGCTAGCTGCATCTGTTTTCTGGTTTTCTATCTCTCTTACAACTTCTTGACCAGAAATCACTTGCCCAAAAACAACATGATGCCTAAAGAGTCAAGTAAAGATAATTAAATAAAAGCTTCTTATTTTAATATTAATTTAAAATAGGTTTTGAAATAAATTAAAATAACCTTTACCCATCTAAATGAGGAGTTGGTTTCGTTGTTCTTTTGGAAGTCATCGGACAGAAGAATAAAAATAAAGTCAGAGAAAAATAAAGTTAGCATCTCTAAAAAGGAAAAGAAAATAACTGCATTGGAAACAAAGTAGCAAACAAAGAATCATATGCTCTTTTAACATTACAGAATTTTATATACCTTAAGTAGAACTGAATGTAAGATGCTTTCCACATATTTTCAAAAACTTGTTCTGATGATAAAAGGAATACCTACACATGTTGAAAACTTACATGAAATTAAAGCTGACACTTTGATGTTATTTCTATCCATCCATGTTTCTTGCATATGACTGAGTCCTTACTGAATATTCATGGTTGCACAATGTTCCACTGTCTGAACATATAATTATCAAACCATTCCACCAGTTTATGAGTTTAACAACAGTGCTTATCAACCTTAAATTTTAAATGATTAAAGCTTGGATCGTATTCTGATGCCCTCACATATGTGTTGGACCTGAACAGAAATGGCCTATACAGTGTTTACAAATTTTTAAATTAGCTCCCAATATTTAAAATTTTGGATACTTCTACATAAAAATCCAAATTCAAGATCTTTTTGAAAAAACTGGAAGACGCAGCACCTCGCATGTGGCAATAGTTGGTCAGGCTGAGTATCCGTGTCTTCTCTAAAACAGGGATCAACGAAACAGTTTGGTTTCTTGTCCCAGCAGCCTTTACTTCCTTATGTTACTTGCCTAAGATCTATGGGCCTTTGAGTTTGTTAGCCTTAAAATAGTTAACTTCACACTGAAGAAAGAGATCTAGATTAAAAGTTTGGACAAAACCCAAAATAAGGAAAAAGTAATTTTTTCAAATCCTTTTTTCCTCCACATCAACCTTAAAGCTCTGGAGTTAAGAAAGCTGCCATTTGAGTAGCTATGAAGACATATTGGTACAACAGACTTAAGCTGGGCATTGCATAATTTTTTATTTTTAAATCTTATCAAAAAAGGTTTCTAGAAATTTGGAAGTAACATGGTTTAAGCTAAGCTTTGGTTAAAACACACACACAATACTACTGAAAAAAAATTCTAACATGTGCTGTATTTTTAAAAGTTCACTTTATTTTTAAAACTAATAACATGTTATTTCTCATAACAGCTATGATCACTTGAACTTGCTAAAACCACCTAGAAATGTAAATACCTGTATGTACACCATAGATGTAGTTGTGTTACATTCAATGTATATAATTTGTATCTAGATATAATCAATCCTCACTTCATAGATTATGTATTTGCCTGTTGGCTTACTCACTAAAATTTATTTGTAACCCCTGAACCGATACTTTCAGTGCTTTCATGGTCACTCTCAGATTAGTGAGAAAATGTTGATGAAGACGTGGAAAAACTAGAACTATTATACAATGCTGGTGGGAATGTGAAACAATGCAGCCATTGTGGAAAATAGTTTGGTGGTTCCTCAAAGAGTCAACCATAGAATTACCATATGATCCAGCAATTCTACTCCTGGGTATACATCCAAAAGAACAGAAAACAGGCATTCAAACAAATATATGTATGCCAATATTCACTGCAGCATTATTTACAACAGCCAAAAAGTGGAAACAACCCAAATGTCTACCAACAGATGAATAAGGATAAACAAAACGTGGTATGTACACATAAAGGAATATTATTCAAAAATAAAAAGGAATGAAGTTCTGATACATGTTATATAACATGGATGAACCCTGAAAACATGCTAAGTGAAACAAGCCTGACACAAAAGGACAAATATTGTATGATTCCACTTACATATCTAGAATAAGCAAATTCATAGACAGAAAGTAGAATAAAGGTTACCAGAGGCTGAGGGGAATGGGAAATGGTTAGTCTCTGAAATGATGAAATTGTTTTGGGAACAGCGGTGACAGTTGCACAGCATTGTGAATATAATTAACACCATCGACTGTACACTTACAAATGGTTAAAATAAAAATTTTATGTTACTACAATAAAACATTTTTTAAAAAAGATTAAAAACTGAAGTTGTTTCCTTTAAAAAACAACAGAATACAGAAGAAGTAAAGAAGTGTTATCTAGAAGTGAAAAGAGGTCAGGAGAAATAAACACTTGGAAGATTCTGAGAATATACATGAAGGATGATATAAATTTAACATGGGGTTTTGGTTAGCACAGGAAGGATTTTACTTTAAAAAGGGAAAATAAATAACACTCAGTGTTGCTGAGGATCTGGTGAAATTGGCACTACTGCTGACACTAAACTACACACTCCCTTTTAGAAGTCAATGTAGCACTATATATGAAAAGCTTTAAAAATGTGTAAATATTTCACTAAGTAAACGTCAGCATCTTATATAAAAGAATTTAAAAAATGCATCAAACAACAAGTACACTATGTTCATCACAGCAGCTTGAAAACAAGAAGCAAAACAAATGCTCAAAAATAGGATTAAGTAAATAAAGCTACAGTACAAACAATGGGTTAACATGTACTATTAAAATGTTAATTCATGTTTAGTGATGAACAAAGATTTGTATTATATCCAAAAGTTGTTTATAGTATATGCAACATACTACCTACATTTTTATTAAATGGAAAGATGCTCTGGGGATAGGACTGTTTTTCTCCTTTTTATCTATGTCCTAATTCGCCTACAATAAATGTGTATGTTTTTATTTAAAAAAATCAGAAAGATCCATATATAGGCAATTGGCTGAATAAACTACAGTATATACACATAACAGAGTACCATGCATCTGCAAAAAAAAAAAAAATGAGAAAGATCTCTATGGACTGATACGGAGTAATTTCTAGGATATATCTTTAAGGGAAAAGAACAAAACATTATATATGTATACTATCTACTGTGTAAGAAAAAAGGGAAAACAAGAAAATATAATATGTATCTGTGCTTATGTCTGTAAAAAGAAATACAGAAAAATCAACCAGAAGCTAATGAGGTTGGTTACTAACATGGATAGGTGGTGAAAAAAATGGGGGAATGGGAATGGAATGCAGTTAGGTGGGAATGATACTGCAGGTATTCTCTTTGTTTTGATTCTTGGAATCATATTGTTTTATAAACTTAAAAAACAAACAAAAAACCTGAGAGGGAGAATAAATGAAATATAATCAGAAACTAATGAACCTAACATATTTTGAGTCAAAAATTATAAGAAATTTACATCAAAAAGTAGTAATCCAAGTCATTTTTAAACATGATAATTTAACTTTATACTCTCAGCCTAAAGATAGAAATAGCTATAAATAAATAGTGAAATCTAGTTAGTAGGTTGCTTTTCACAGTGGTTTGGGTGGCAATTTAAAATCTAGAATACAACAAATGAGTAGAAATTTTAAACACAATGGGAGGCAGGTTTCTCACTGTTGAAAGGAGTTACAAATATCAAATAGGAAAACACTAGAATACAATAATTCACATGGTGTTGACAGATTAAGATCTTCTGAGGCCAAAAGAGTTTATGGTTGTTGAAGAGAGAAAATCTTTATTCAAGGGACATGACCAAAAATATGAATTGCTAACAAGAACTCTGGTAACAATTTTAGTTAGAACTGGAAAATATTAGCAGTATTAACTTTGGGGTTTCAAATAAACTGAGTAGGCAAATTCACAAATACAGAAACTTTGAATAATGAGGCTCAACTGTATTTTACTCTTTGTAATTAATTAATTTATGAAGAAATACTCTATGCAAATATCTTGTTCTTTGTTAAAACTGCCCTCTAAATATACCATCCATAGGTAATTTTTTCCTGAATTATTACTGAGATAATTGCAAAACAGGGACAGCTCTAATTCCTTTTATATTTATTAGTTGCATTCTACTTAGGAACAGTTTTCCCTTCTCTCTTGTTATTTATTAATTTATTATTTATATTTGTGTAGACTCTTGGATTTCTATTTGATAATCTGATACTATCATTATGATGCTTCAACTTGTCCTAATTTGGGCCAGTTGGGCCAGTGGGAACCCCACCCTGCTTCAAGCTGCCTCCTGTGTCCTTTTGACAAGTCTTCATTACTTGAAAACTTTAATAGTACATTCAACACCCTTTTCAACTATTTTCCCTTCTTCAATAATTCTTTGTTCTTCCTCCTTCAAAAGTTCTCCCCCTTACAGTCCCTCTCCTATTTATTAGTGACCAGTGGCAGGCACACATGGAAATGACACACCAAAAAAGAAGTATTTTAAATCATCAGATCATAAATTCTTACATGAAGAACTGCGAACCATTTGTATCTTTCCCTCTGTTGGCCATTGACAAGAGAAATTCTTTGTTGTGTTTAACAGCAAAACTCTCATCTACAGAGAAGCAAAGTTTTCAGTTACATTACATTACACAAAGTCACATTTCAGGCATAACCTCCTTCCAAAATTTCACTCTTCTTCATATCTTGTGTTCATATCATATGCTTTTTAATAACAGACAAATTTAGATAAAAGTCTGGTTAAAAGAAAAGAGAATCAAATTTAATTAATTCCCTTACCCATCTTTTCACATTAAAATATTTCTAATGTTCAATGCCTTGCTATATAATCTAAATACTGTATCAACCCTCTTTCTTTCCATTTGTCCCTTATAATTTCTAGGAAAAAAACAATACTATTTTCTTTCTTTATTTAAATAAAAAATGAAACTCTCCCAAAAAACCAAGAGAAATAATCTAGATAGGATTCTTTTGCACTTCATCTGTTTCACTACCGAGTACAAAAAGGCACATATATTATTCTTAGTACAGAGCAGTACTCATTAATTTAACCTTTGCCACGGCATTACTTATTGCAGAGAGCAGCCTGTCTTCTAATCTTGGATTAGAATATGAGAAAAAAGCAAGTGGAATGTGAAACAAAATTTTTACTGACTCTCAAAAGTGAAAGATGGGAAATGTGAAATTAATTCCATACTCATATGTTTATATGTGAATGATCTTTCAAATGATCTTCACATTAATAAAAAAAAAATTCCAGAGAGAAAACTTACATTTGGGAAAAACATTATAGCCAAATTTAGAATATCAAAGATTTAAAAAAAATCTTTATAGTAAAATGGACCCACTAAAAATATTGATATTGTTACTAAGAAATACTGTTGAATCTCTTAATAAAGATTAAGATCAAGCTATGGAAGTTCCTATTCTAGCACAGTTCTAAAAGTTTATTATAGATCATTGAAATGTTTCAAATAACATGATGTACAAATGTCCTAAACACAAAAAAATCCTACCTTAAAAAAAACACTATCATAAAATTTTTCACAAGAAAATTAACCTCCATATTAGTTGGAAGTAGCTGGATATTAGTATATCAATAATCTTATTGATTTAACAGAGATAAATCAGACGAATAAAATATCAGAAAACATTAAAAACGCAATATAAATGTAAACATTTTTACCTTCGAAAAATCCTCCATAAATAGATTCCCCTCCTCGTCCATTTCCTAAAAGTGACAAACATGGACTTTTAGAACTGTTAAGACAGTAATCTCCTTGAAGGTGCTACCTAAACAAAATGCTTCTTACAAAGTAGGTACCTGAATGACTTTGAATCAACAGTACTCAAAGGTTCAGAGCAAATCATAAGACATTGACTGAAAGTCAATACTGACAAGATCCCAAATTACTTTTTCCCCCTATGATACAACAGTAAAAAATGTGACAAAGCCTATTAAGATATGTAGAAAAAAGAATGTTCAGATTCTAATGATGATTATGTAGGTCTTTTAACAGAAATTACTGTTTTTCAAAGTGTCTTTAAAAATACGATTTCATGCTTTTACAATAAGAAAGTAAAGTTTCTGTATTGCAATAAAGGATTACTAGTTGTGGCAAAATCAAACACAAATATTGATAGGCTACTAAGAGATGAATAGTTTTTTTTTTTAATCCAGAAGCAAATTTCTGAAATTAATTCATGCATCAAAAGTGAAATTATTTCCCACATGCTCTCTTCTTTTCATCTATATCCATGACTACTTCTAATTGTTTGACCAGGGCTGAGAAGAAAGAAAATAAATATATGATTTTCCTTCGTGGGAACTGAAGTCTTACCTTCACTGAAGTCACCACCTTGAACCATAAAATCTTTAACAACTCTGTGAAAGAGACAACTCTTATAATGTAATGGCTTCTGAGTTGATTTTCCTGTCCCCTTTTCACCTATAGAGAAGAAAAATTAATAGGCCTTTCAGTAGAAAAGAAATTAAGGAAGTAGTATTAAAGCAAAATTAATAACGAAATCCCAAGTAAAAAGAATTTTCCTACTTCTTTAATTTTGTATCTGTATGAGATGATGGATATTCACTAAACTTATTGTGATAATCATTCATGATGTATATAAATCAAATCATTATGCTGTACACCTTAACATTATACAGTGCTATGTCAATTATATCTCAATAGAACTGGAAAATTTTAAATAATTTAAAAGTTAAAAAAATTAATGATAAAAGCTTTTGTCCAGTAAAATATACCTCTTGCACTATATAAACTTCTTTAAACTATAGAATTTTCACTCCCTTCAGAAATGTTTTTAAAAAACTCATTTAAAAAGCATCCATGCTTTTTCGGTGAGTGTAGAAATCCATTTCAGATAAAATCCTATCAAGACTAGTATTTCTAAGAATTACTCTGATGTCCAGTCAATGTTGCATAATAGGCATGCTAAAAAAAGGAATATGCAGGAAGAAAATATGTTAAATAAAAAATTAAAGCAAACTGAAGTCAAATGGGACTACTATTAGGGCAAGTTAAAATGTCAACAAACCTGTACAAAGGCAACGAAAATTCTCGCATGTTTTGGGGCACACATCAGAAAATAATTCGAAGACAACTCTTCCAGCTGAAAAAGAAGGTAGTTGGTTTAAATTTCTTTCCTAACTAAAAATATTAATTATTCATGCATAAATGTTAAGTACGAACATTAATTTCCTTACCAGGTTGATTATTAATGGCGATATCAAAAAAACATCGAGGACGCTGAACCTTTATTCCCATGGCTTCAATACTTCAATCTATGAGTAAAATACAGTTTTAAGCAAACAGACTGAAACAGCAAAGATTTTTTCATAAATTTCTGGAAGGGGGGAACTCAGGGGAGCATAAACTAGAAATGTAGTCTGGATTTATTTTAAATTTACTTCCATGCCTTAAATCATATGAATTATTCCTTTCTTTTAGAGGTTAGATTACATTGTGTGAGGCAACTACAAAAGATATAAAAGGTTAAAGCCATTTTATAGTAAAATTTCTATTTTAACAGCCAAGTTTAGATTGCTACCCCAAACAGAAAATTATATTAAGTCTGTATGATTAGTGAACTAAACAGGCAGATTACCTTTAAACAGAGAAAAATGTAAGACAAACTGATTCAATCCTTTTGCTCCTAGAAAACGAAAATAAATTTTTATTAAAATGGTAGAGTTTTAAAAATAAAAACATTCAAATTTCTGCAAAATGCCAAAAATAAATCATTGCAGAAGAAAGTGAGATATTTTAACAATAGTAATATATGGGAGATTTTCATTCTGAGTGAAAGCACAACATTAAGTTTTACATATGATGCTATTTTTTGATCATGAACAATAGCCTTTACTGATATGCTAACAGACAAAAAATATCAGTAAGTGAGATACTCTATGTAATAGTTTTCTCTACATACCAGATGACTATGACTTAAGACATTCTTTTCATAAGGCATTCTTTTTATTTTAAGGACTCAGAATGTCTGAATTGTAATACTTGGTGGAGAATGACAGAGAAAGGTGAAAACTGGAAGAAACAAAGGCACTTAGTATAATTGGCACCCAAAATGATAGCCTACAAAAATGACACATCTGCTCAGAACAGAAACCAACTGAAATGTATATGCTTTTTGGAAAATACTGATATTTAAGCTGGCAGGCCAGCAAGTGTGCATGACATTTTAAATCCAGTGAAATTTTTACTGAAACAACTGTAGATTCACAGAATTACAGAGATACAGTGTTTCCCCAATGGTAACACTTTATAAAACTAGTATAACACAACTACAGCATAAAAGCTTAATGCAGATACTATCCACTTATCCTTTTTTAAATTTACTTTTAATTTTTTTAAATTGAAGTACAGTTGATTTATAATGTTGTGTTAGTTTCTGGTGTCCAGCAAAGTGATTCAGTTACACATATATATATTCTTTTTCATATTCTTTTCCATTATGGTTTATTACAGGATATTGAATATAGTCCCCTATGCTATATAGTAGGATCTTGTTGTTTCTCTATTTTATATGTAATAGTTTGTGTCCGCTAATCCCAAACTCCTAATTTGTCCCTCCTCCACCTCCTTTCCCCTTTGGTAACCATAAGTTTGTTTGCTATGTCTATAAGTCTATTTCTGCTTTGTAAATAGGTTCATTTGTATCATATTTTAGTACACATATAAGTAGTATCATATGGTATTTGACTTTCTCTTTCTGACTTGCTTCACTTAGTGTGATAATTTCTAGATTCATCCATGTAGCTGCAAATGGCATTACTTCATTCTTTTTATGGTTGAGTAGTATTCCATACAACTCACTGATTCTATTCACATTTTCCCAGTTTTACTTGTACTCATTTATGTGTATTTATTTAGTTCTACACAATTTTATCAAACATATAGATTCATATACCTATCATGATTCCTTAACAATTTTACACATTCCACAAACCACAAGTTACAATACTCAACAACAGATACATGGAAAACTGCCAAATTACCAATTAATCTGCCCAAATCACCAACAATTTGAAAAATACAACCTCTATGTATTTATTCATTACTGCACGTAAAAGGGGGAGAAAATACCATTTTCTCACTTCCTCCACTTTTTATTTCTAAAAGATACAATATATAGTAAAAATTTGTTTCACATGAAACAAAGCAAAAAGACACCTTTCAATCCTCCAGGGGACTACAAACATAGACTTCTTGAAAACAATAAAACAAACAAAAAACTTAGCAATTTTAGTATCTTACCAAGTTTGTGTCATTAACTTTTTATTTGTATAGAATTTCAATTCACATATCTGAAATTGAGAATATACTGAATTCATAAATTTGAGGAAACTATTCTATCTTCAAGAAAAATATTAAATTACTACTTAGTACCTCATTATCCTTTATCTTCTAAGTAACTTTTGCAGGCCTTCTGAAATTCTCTACTTTTGGGGGTAGAATAAGTTTAATTAATTATTTATTTTACTCCCCAAAAAACCTCTAAAGCTATTTGCTTAGTCATAATATCCCAGGCAGAGATTTCTATTCTTACAAAATGAGAATAGTATAGATAGTATTGCCAAAACATACCAAATTGTTTTTGATTACAGTTAATTTCCTATTTACTGTGTTCTTGAAAACAAACTCCAATTTTGAAAGCCAGGTAAAAGTCATGAAAGCTCAGAAAATAATCTCTAATTATCCTTAACCTTTTAAACATAATCTTTTATGATTTTCCAACTTTTGTTAATTCTACGGCACATTGTAAACAATTCTATAGTTCTGGGACTTTGAAATCGCAATGAATACCACCACTAATTTTCGGAGTTAGGAGCCTAAGTGGGAGCTACTGGGATAGTGGTTTGTTCCGTTTTTTGATCCAATGCTGCTTACAAAGGGGAGTTTGCCTTGGGAAAATGTTGAGCTCCACTTAGAATCTGCATACTTTTTGGTATGTTATATACTTCAATAAGAAGTTTACTCATTAAAAATAATACATATGGGGGCATGGGTATAGCTCATGTGGTACAGTGCATCCTTAGCATGCATAAGGTCCTGGGTTCAATCCCCAATACTTACATATAAATAAATACATACATACATACACACAAAACTCTATTTCTCTACCCCTGATTCTCTCGAAACTTAGTAAACATCATTTGTCCAACTAGCTGCTACAGCTGAAGAAAACTTATTTTATTCAACTCAGTATGTCTAAAACATTATCTTAGCATATAATCAACATAAAATGTTATTGATGAGATATGTCACATTATTTTTTTGGTACTAAGTCTTCGAAATCGCGTGTTTATGCCACATTTCAAGCGCTCAATAACTTCACGTGGCTCATGGCTACTATACTGGACAGCATGACTCTAAATACTTTAGATCCTGTTGACCTTTACAACTTTATCTAACATTCTCCTCAACTCTGCTTCAGCTTTGTGTTCCTGCTGTTCTTCCAATAGCCACGGCCTGCTCCTTCAAGTCTTTTACATTTATTGTTCCCTCTGTGGAATGCTCTTACCCTAGATCTTCATGTGAGTTCATTCCCTCACTTTAAATTAAGTCATTGCTCTAGTACCACCTCCTCATGGAAACCATTCTTGACCAGTATATTCAAAGGTGCAGGCCCTACCCTCCAATACTTTATATCCCCTTACTCTACTTTACTTTTCTTACCAGCATTTATTGCTACTTGATATTTTATCATAAATTCAAGTTTTTATATCTATTCCTTTTACTAGAATATAAGCTCCATGAAATGAGAGACTTCTCCAGTTTTGGTCCCCTCTAATTCCCAGTGCCTCAAACAGTGCTTGGCTGTGGCAGGAAACCAACATTTAATAAGTGAACAAATATACATGAAAGGATAGGCATGTGGGAGAACTTTTTTGCAACATTGCAATAACAAGTAACTGAAAGGAAACTCCCAAAATGTCCCAAATTGAAAGAACATCTGAGTACATTACGGCATATATTTTCTATTTAATATTATACAACAGTTTTAAAACTCTGCATATAATATCCAAAACATCTGTTGAGTTGAAAAGAAAAAAAAAGCAAGTTGCATGTAAGTATCTTCAATACCCTAAAATAATACTGTTTCCACAAATAAAGAAAAAGGTCTTAAGAGATATATAATAAAATTCCAAACAATACTCTGCAGGGAGGAATAGGACTGGAAGTCAATGAGGTCTTTAGCTTTAACTATAAGGTTTGAATTTTGGCAACAAGAGTATGTTCATGTACTAGTTTCCCAATAAAAAAATAATAAAATTTAAAGATATATCTTCATAGCAAAATAAAATAGTAGGAAATACATGAAAATATTTAGAGCCTATCTCTAAGTGCAAGGGTCATAGGTGACTTTTATTTTATTTGTTTTTTGTTTTGTTTTTTTGGGGGGGAGGGTAATCAGGTTTTTATTTATTAATTTTTGGTGGAAGTACTGGGGATTGAAGCCAGGACCTTGTGCATGCTAGGCACACACTCAACCACTGAGCTATATCCTCCTCCCTGATTTTTATTTTTGTTTTTCTATTTTCCAAGTTTTCTATCACAAATTCACACCTGTAAAAGAAACTCTTCAAAAGAGCATTCAAGTCTTAAACAATGTATTTTTTAAGTGTTTCACTTTCACAATTACTATTGCTGCTTAACATTTCAGTCTAGGAGATCTGAGGAAATGATTTCTCTTCTCACAAAACTGTGTACTCCTTCAAATGGAAACTAGGAAAATACATGTGAATACAGGAAAATACACGTGAATATTTACCTAAACTCTGGATGTTAAATAGCTTTTCAGGTTCACTAATAATGAAATAAATAATGAAGATAAACAGTTTGGACTGCACGAAAAAATGTATTATTTCTATTTTTCAAAGGGAAATTAGTAAAAAAAACTTGGAAAAATATTTTCAACAAACATGAATGATTTGTTAATTTTCTTACTGTAAAACTCTGCCTAGGTCCACCCTACTCACTGCAGAACATGAAGCATCTTTGGTCCTGCCTATTCAATATCAGTCTATGTGACAATCCCCACACCCCTCACTATCACTCTACCCCATCTTTGAGAACCACTATCATAGGGTCCCTGTATCAAACAATTAAACAAACAAAGGCTACCCAAGGGAATAAAAAAATATACAACACCACAGAAAGTGAAACTGAAAATATAAACAGCACGAACAATTTTGCTAAGCAACTTGGCATTACAGAACAAGAATTCTGAATATATTCATAATCATTCTAACCTTAACACTTCAGTAATTCAAACTCTTGGAATGTCTCTAAGGGCAATCATTTAAATGAAATTTTCTTTTAGGCTTTATTTTTTAAAATAATAGTGAGTAATTAGAAACAACCTAAATGTCCAACACAACAGTTAAGTAAACTAGAAGACATATGATAGATTATTATGCTGTTTATGAAAATATACAATTTTTAATATAATATGGAAAATGTTAAGTGAAAAAAGATATCAATATTATATGGTTAAAATGATTTTAAGTATAAAAAATTCATATATACTGTCACGGTAGTGCTTTCTATAATAGTGGAAAAACCTAGTTATACAGTAACAGAAACTGGTGAAGTAAACACCCTCATGAAATGGATGGTATTTATCTAGCCATTGGAAATCATATTCTTACATGTTAAAACTACAGAGATAACATATTTCACCTGAGGAAAAATTTTAAAGTATTGACTTTGTCATACATTGTTGATGGGAACAAAGGGGTAAAACTGACAATCCTGTCAATTTGACAACATATATTATAAATGCATTAAATACCCCTTGACTCAATAACTTTATTCCTAGGAATTTTTAAAATATGTCCTACACATTTGCAAAATAAGGTATGTGCAAGGTCACTCAAGGCACCATTGTCTGTAGGCTGTAAACCTAAATGTCCACAGAAGAGACTGTATAAATCATATTACATCTGTATGTGTACAGGCTATAAAAAAGAATGAGGAAGCTGTTTATGTCCTGCTATCTCTGAGACATTTCAAGTTTTATAAAAAAGGTACAGAAATGTATATGGTATGATTTCTTTGCATATTTTTAAAATAACTTAAAAATGTGTTTACTTGTCTAATATAAAGGCATCTGGTGGGAGAGGAAATGGGTAGTTTCGGAAGATTTTTTACTATGTAACTTTCTATATCTTTTCAATTTTATGCCATAAGAATATGCCATTATTAAAAGCTATTTTAAAAATAAATAAAACTGAAAAAGAAAAATTATCAAAAACTTCTCATGGAAGAGAAGATATTCATAATATACTAGGTGAAGAAAAGCAAGTGAGCAAGCAGTATTGTCTGTAAAATCCCAATTTTACACATATCAAATGCACATTAAAAAAGATACAAAATGATTATCAGAGAAATGCAAATCAAAACTACAATGAGGTATCATCTCACACCAGTCTGAATGGCCATCATTCAAAAGTCCACAAACGATAAATGCTGAAGAGGGTGTGGAAAAAAGGGAATCCTTCTACATTGTTGGTGGGAACGTAGTTTGGTGCAGCCGTTATGGAAAACAGTATGGAGATACCTCAAAAGACTAGGAATAGACTTACCATATGAACCAGCAATCCCACTCCTGGGCATATATCCTTAATTCAAAAAGACACATGCACCCCAATGTTCATAGCAGCACAATTTACAATAGTCAAGACACGGAAACAATTTAAATGTCCACTGACAGATGATTGGATAAAGAAGATGTGGTATATATATACAAAAGAATACTGTTCAGCCATAAAAAAAAAGAATAAATTAATGTCTTTTGCAGCAACATGGATGGACCTGGAGATCATTCTAAGTGAAGTAAGCCAGAAAGAGAAAGAAAAATACCATATGGTATCACTTACATGATCTAAAAAAAAAAAGACACAAATGAACTTATTTACAAAACAGACTCACAGACATAGAAAACCAACTCATGGTTACCAGGGGTGGGAAAGGATAAACTGGGAGTTCGAGATTTACAGACACTAATATATATAAAATAGATAAACAACAATTTCATACTGTATAGCACAGGGAACTATATTCAATATCTTGTAGTAACTTATGGTGAAAAATAATATGAAAATGAAATGTCTGTTCATATATGACTGAAGCATTATGCTCCACACTAGAAACTGACACAACATTGTAAACTGACTATACTTCAATAAAAAAATATATAAAATAGATAGGAAATGAAATTACTGCAATAAAGAGAGGTATCTGTATCACCATGCTCAGTGCAGCATTATTTAAAATAGTCAAGACATGGAGACAACTTAAGTGCCCAACAACAGATAAATGAAAATGTGAGGTAAATATGTATGTGTGTGTATGTATATGTACACGAGACAGACAGACATACACACGTGCGAAAATAATGGGATACTATTTAGCCATTAAAAGAAAAAAGGAAACCCTGCCATTTGCAACAACATGGATGGACCTTGAGGACAATGAGCTACGTGAAGTAAGTCAGACAGAGAAATACTGTATGATCTTACTTATACGTATAATCTAAAAAATAAAAAATACATGCATACATATGCTCATACACACATAAACACCAAACTCATAGAAAAAGAGATCAGATTTGTGATTACCAGAGACAGGGGCTGGGGAGAGGAAATTGGATGAAGGTGGTCAAAAGGTATAAACCTCCAGTTTTAAGTACTAGCAATGTACAACATGATGACTATAGTTAACACTGCTGTATTATATATTTGAAAGTCGCTAAGAGAATAAATTTTAAAAGTTCTCATCACAAGGAAAAAAATTTTTAATATTCTTATAAATATTCAGCTAATATTCTTAATATTGTATCTGCAACTATCTAAGCTCTTATAATGATAAATTTATCCCATTGTCTCCAGAGATACACCAACACCATCCTAGCAACATGTTATTCAATCTAGTGATTCCTAAACAAAAAAGTAGAGACGTTAGAAGTTTTAAGTAAACAGCTAATCTGATCTAATCTGATTTTATAGACAGAACAAGAGGACTAGAGAGCTGAAGTGATTGACTCAACGTCACAAGCCTAAAAGCAAGAGTTTTCTGGTTAAGACTAGTTTGACTGTAGAAACTATCTTATTCACAAATATTCCAGATAATGGCTTATATAATTTTACTTCCCAGCATATGACCACAGTGCAATGGTTTAATTATGAATAAACCTTCAACTACAGTTTATGCATAATTAACAGTAGCTTAATATATAAAAAAGCAGGCTTTATGCAATTAAAAAAATCAATGAGTTAAGGAATCATTCATGTTTTTAAAATAACCGTTTTAATATCAGAAATTGATGCCTGTATTTTTAAGTGTGCACAGGTTGGTGAACATTTTAAGCTACCACTCAAACTAAAACAAAGTGCAAAAGATTTCCTGTCTGGCACTAAAAGTACAAAGTCCCAGTTAAAGCAGTTTTCTCTTGAGGATAACCCTGCCTGTAGCAAATTTCAAAATGCAAGATTTGCCCTGCAGAAATAAAAATACACTGAGTTCTTTCGGAGACCATATATGCATTAAACCAGGTCGAAACCATTGACACTTAAATGAAATGAAAATTGAAGCTTGGTGCTAAAAATAAAGTAAAAAAAAAAAAAAGTGCAATACCACTATGTAGCAGATTTGTAATAAACAGTTCAAATCAGTTCCTTAAATTATGTATGGATCCTTACCACATATAACAAGTAAAGACACTTTAGTACATAGATAATACATTTTAATTCTTTTGAAATATCCTATAAGTAAAACAATTAGGGAGAACATTAACATGTATTTCTTAGGGAGAATATTAACATATATTTCTTAAAACAGCAACACTGAATAACTGTAGATGGTGGCTGATAACTAACAGAACTAGTCCATGCTACTATGAATGGCTACCCATTTTCCTTTACATAGACAATGGACGCTGCCTGACAGGAAATCTGACTTAAAATATGCAAAATATCAAAAGGACAGAGACTTTACTTAGTGGCCACCGATATTGCAAGACCACAAGTAACAAGCACCAAAACCGAAAGGTCTTTGATAAATCCAAATATATGTAACGTATGCTCTTCACTTCACTCACATACTTTTCTGTTTTTCTGGCTTTAGCTACTGAAAATTAACGTACCCCCTAATTTTCAAAACATTTAATTGTTCCTCGGACGTATTTGCAAAAACCTGGTCCTGCATACAGTATTGTTGCGGGAATAAATTAACAGCAATGCACAAAATGGTGCTTTTATAACATTTCCAAAACGACTGGGAATCCTCCAATCCCTCAGACCTCGACTCAGCACCTTGAAAGACTACAGATGAGCCAAATTCGCACACTTCCCCCAAGGCATATGGAGCCATCACCTTCCTCCTAAAGAGTAATTATCTCCTCCTAAAAGGCCTGCGCTGCTCACAGCTCCCAGGAAACGTGGGAGAGCTTGGAGACAGCTCTGGGATGAGAAGAGAAGAGCATGGATTTAAGTTTTAAGAGAATACTTAACTAAGTGGCCTGTGCCATTTCACCACGTACGACAGCCACTATGAGAGGAAAAGGTCGGAGTAGGAGGAAAGCCTGTCTTCAGTCTAGTCTCAACCCCTGTGATCCAGGCTCCTCGATTGCCGCTCTCCAACCCTAATCTGACAGGACGTCAAGTTAATGCCTCCCGCTTCCTTACGCATCCTCCCACCTACCCCGCATTGGTGCTTTGTCTTACGATTTTGAAGCATCAAAAACCACCCTGGCTCCCTTAGAGTTCAGGCCGCTGTCGCTGCCGCCATATTACAGCTTGTGCGGCAAAATGCGTCAGGGAGGGAGGTGTGCGCCCGAGTGGAGGGGGCGGGGGCTGGCAGGGGGAGGGACGTTTCCCAGGCCCTGGAGGCACGGCTGGAACCCTTCTCCAGCCGCCAACAGCTAGCAAAGCCAGTGCCACCGTCCTTGGGGGCCCCGTCAGGGAACGGGTAGCCTAGATACCTCGAAGGGAAAGCGGCTAAGTCGGCCGGGCCTATCGCGCCGACTCCGCCCCTCTCCTCGGGCCCTTCCCGCTCTCGTAGCCGGGGACTGCTGCAAAGGACGCCACCGAAACAACACGGGCTTCGCGCCACCTACTTGCACCAGTACAGCCTCCTCTTCCTGCGGTCCGGTCCTTTAAAGCGCTTCAAATCTACCGCCGCCAGAAAAGGCGCTAAAGCCCACTAACCGCCTCCCTCCCCCCACCACCCTGTCCCGGCGTGGAGGGAAAGCGTCGCGCCGGAAGTACGTCACGAGTCGGCGGACAGCAGCTTTTGGTGATCCGTTCCTTGCGTCATCTCCTCACCCTCCCCGGAGTTCTAGAATTGTGGTGCCTGTTAAGTTACTAGTTTATAGGTAGCTTAATACTTTATGTGTGAGTTGGTTGGAAAAGTTTGTAACCGTCAGAATGCCCTGTGTTCGTGAAAAGAAGTGCTGAATTTAATAAGTATTTATTGATCCTCTTTCCGGGTGTTGGGAAGGGGACCCTACCTTCAAGGAGCTTCCAGGTCAGTTTACAGTTAATGCTGTGAGTTTTTAAAACTCTACAAGTTTTAAAAAACGAATGAACAAAGTGCTATTTTAGGAAAGGAGGGAATTACAAAGTATATTGACGCTCTTTGTTGTCGTTTTTCTTAGAGCAACCCCATGATACAGGTTATTATCCTTATTTTTACAAATAAACACATTGAGGCTCAGAAGATAAGTGCCTTCCTCCTAAAGACACTGTTCCTAAATACCAAGCAAGCCTTTGACTCTAAATCCAGTGATCTCTGGGGAAAGTAAGACGTATACTGTTATTTAATTATTTTAAGAGGTTAAGAGTCCCTACATTATGTTAGAATTCATTCTCCCTGCTATTTGGAGGGAGGGGCGTAGGCGACAATCGTTGTGGGGATATGGGATGAGGTGTGGTTTAAAGGAACCAGCTATGGGGACTTAGACCGTATTATCGGATTAAAAGAACGTAAGCTACAATCATTGAAAGTTTTCACCTATGTGCCTTAGGTAAATTAGTAATTATCAACAACTGGGCATGTGGTACTTAAGGGTCTTGACCAGTTTTACAGAGCTGTAAAAGTGAGAGGACAATCCCTGACTTTTAAGCCATTGCATTTATTGAAGGGAGCAGCCGCATACTTCAAACAGTTCGGAGGTTGTATGGTTTTACACTTTGCAGTGAGAAGAGCAATTCTGCAATACTTAAAAAAACCTGATTTATATTAAGCGCTATATTAAGATAGATTTCTTTGAGCATTTTTTTTTTGACTGACAGATCTTGCCTCAGGTTTATTTGTACAAACAGCACAGGTAGACATGAGCCCCATGCAGACAGCTGCCCAGGGGTCACACTAGTCCTTATATCCTCACATCAATAGATGAAGCCTCTACTCTGGAGCCTTTGTGGGGGCCTGGGCACATTTGGGAGACTGAACTGGAGCCGGAGCTGCAGCTGCAGCCTTGGTCTGAGCCTTGTCCTTGGCCTTTGGCCGACAGAGCCTGAGACTTGGCAGTGCAGGCACGAGCACGTTTCCCGAGCTTGGGGTGAGCAATGTAGGCAAGTTGACTGAGCTTGCGGCTGCTGCCCTTTGGAATCTTGGGCTTGACCTCCTTGGGCTTTAGGAGAGCCTTGATAGCCTCAGCACGTGCACTCATGGCCTAGGTATTGTTGGCCTGCATCTTCTTCAGGCCCTTCTTGTTGTGCTTCTTGGCAAAGCGCATGTTCCTCAGGAACTTGGGGTCTACTCCCTTAAGAGATTCGTATAGTTGTGATTGGGGTTTTTTGATGCCGTTTCTGTGCCATTTTCGGGACTGGTTGTGTGTGGTGTGGTTCTTCGACTTGGCCATGCCTGTACTGGAGCCGGGAGATCCCGAATCGCCTGGGACCAGAAGAGAGAGTGAGCATTGTTTTGTTTGATTTTTTGTCCTTCAGCTTCTTTTAGAATGTATTTTTATTTAGCTATGGTTTACAGATTCATTTCTTAGATTTCTGCCCTACTATGTAAGTGACATTGGTATGGCATTGATGCATTCTCCCTCTTTCTCACACATTCAGCCAGAGACATTTTTGAGGATATATTACAGATCATTATACCATAATTAAGATTTTGAGGTGTATAAAGGTAACATTACTAATCTTGTTCTAGGGTATACTATCTTCCTAGAGAAACAGACTTATATCTGAAGTGACTGGAGAATTATTGAATAGTAAAATATTAATAAGTACTTATATATACACATGTATACATACAATACACATGGTCAGATTTTAGGAGATTGTTGAAAGAAGTTTTTTTTTCTTTACTTTTTTCTTGGAAGACTTTTTGAAGCAGCATTACAAATGTCAATTCAAGGACTGGTGGCTGGTGCTAAGCCATGACAAAGTTTTCACCGCTCTTAAGAAGAACTGTTTTGTTTTAATTAAGTTTGTCACCCTTTCTTAATGTTATAGTATACTTTAATGAAATGATTGTTATAGAATGTAGAATGTAGTAGTTGTTTTCTTTCTCTGGATGCCCTAGTTGGACAAATGAAGCATTGGCATGATTTGTTGGGTTCCAAATATGTTGAAGGTTCATTGGTCTGTGAAACCCCAAACTTTCACAGACCAAATAGAGTTGATATGGTGTATTGTTCCAAGAAGGACGCTGTTGCAAGTAAAAGGAAGTATTGTTACCTCCTGGCTGAAAGAACAAAGGATTTATTTCTCTCTTATATAATAGATCTGAGGTGAGTGGGCCAGATCAAAGGGCAGCTCTGCTCCATATAGTCATTAGGAACTTGAGTTCCTTATATGTTATTCTGACATACTCCAGGGCCTTGACTTTGCATGATTAGAGTGTATTGCCTTGGGTTTCAGCTGACAGGAAACAGAAAGAAATATAATAATGTCCTAAGGCCTAAACAAGGAAGTAGCACATGTCACTTTGGCTCTAATTCCATCAATAAGAACTTAATCACAGGGCCAAACCCAATTAGAAAGTATGGAAAAATGTAATATTGGCATGTGTCCAGAAAAAAGAAGAAAAACTATTTTAATGGAAAATTAACAGTCTGGGCCACATATCCCATTGAAAGATAATTTTTTGCATAATTAGTTTGTTTCTACACTGTGAGCAGACACAAGATTTGCTGTGATGTTACTAGTGTTTTGAAATATATTTAGACTCTAGCACTCATAGGTGAACTGTTACTTAAAGTAACTTTAAAAAGAATTTTTTTTTAAGCGGAGGTATTGGGGATTGAACCCAGGACCTCGTGTATGCTAAGCACATGCACTACAACTGAGCTGTACCCTCCCTCCATAAGATCACTTTTAATAGATTTAAAGACCAAAAAATAGCTTTATAATCATCAAAGCAGGAGTTTTCAAGGGGTGACTTAAGTTAGCCCTTAATTTATTTTACATACCTTTTTTAAGGGTAGGATTTTTAAATTAAAGCTTAATATGTATTCATAAACTGTAAGTATATCTCCATACATTTAGTATATACATATATTTTTACTGAAGTATAGTCAGTTTACAATGTTGTGTCAATTTCTGGTGTACAGCACAGTGCTTCAGTCATATATGAACATACATACATTCGTTTTCATATTCTTTTTCACCATGTTACTACAAGATATTGAATGTAGTTCCCTGTGCTATACAATGTAAACTTGTTTATTTTATATATATTAGTATCTGCAAATCTCAAACTCCCAATTTATCCCTTCCCACCCCCTTCCCCCACTGTCTGTGAGTCTGTTTCTGTTTTGTAGATAAATTTGTTTGTCTTTTTCTTTAGATTCCACATATAAGTGGAATCATATGGTATTTTTCTTTTTCTTTTTGTCTTACTTCACTTAAAATGACAGTCTCCAGGTCCATCCATGTTGCTGCAAATGGCATTATTTTATTCTTTTTTATGGCTGAGTAGTATTCTATTGTATACATATACCATAGCCTCTTTTTCCAGTCATCTGTCGATGGACATTTAGGTTGTTTCCATGTCTTGGCTATTGTAAATAGTGCTGCTATGAACATTGGGGTGCATGTGTCTTTTTGAATTAAGGTTCCCTTTGGATGTATGCCCAGGAGTAGCTCCATACATTTTTACAACGTGAACATACAGGTGTGACTTCCACTAGATTAAGACATAGAGCAATATCAGCATCTAAGAAGTCCACTTCATGTTCCCACCCAATAGTTCTTTCATCCCTCCCTCCTGCACCCAATAATCCTATCACCTCACCCTCCCTGATCCCTACCAAAGATAGACTAATTGGAGTTCCATCAACATACATTAGTTTTGTCTGTTTTTGAAACATGAATGGAATTAGGCATATGTATTTATTTGTGGCTGGCTTTTTTGCTCAATGTTGTGTTTGTGAGAAGTATGATGATGAATTGACTCACATGATTATGAAGGCTAAGAAGTCTCACAGTCTGCTGTCTGCAAGCTGGAGACCCTGGAAAGCTGGTGGTGTAATTCCAGTTCAAGTTCAAGAACCAGGGGAGCTGATGATGAAAGTCCCAATTTAAGGGCAGAAGACCAGTGTCCAAACTCACATAGCCAGGTGGGAAGCAAAAAGGGTGAGTTCCTCTTTCTGGTGCTTTCTTGATCTGTTAAGGCCCTCCATGGATTAGATAATGCCCACCCACATTAGTGAGTCCACCAATTCATATGCTAGTCTAATCTAGAAACACCCTCAAAAACACACCTAAAAATAATGCTTAATCTGGGTAGCCCTTGGCCCAGTCAAGTTGATATATAAAATGAACAATCACAATGGGCATTGCACAATTATTCCCTTCCACTTTACATGGATATTTGTGTTGTTTTTGAGTTCTAGCTATTATGAAAAAAGTTTTTATGAACATTCTTGTGTTGTTATACAGAGCACATATATTTTGCATATATATGTTGGAAATATACCTCAGAATGGAATTGTTAGATCTTTGGGTATGGGTAGGATCAGCTTTCGTAGATACTGCCAATGAGTTTTCTGAAGTGGTTGTAAAATACTCTTATTGTACGTGCCTTTTGATTCTAGTATTAGAGTTCTCATGTGCAAAGAAACCCAGCTTGAAGTAGCTTAGGTAAAATTGGGAATATATTGCTTCATGAAGCAAAACTGTTGGACAATGTGGTGGCTTTAAAAACATGTCCATAAATTCTTTAATGTGACTTCTAATGACTAAGGCAAAATGACAGTTTGTGATTTTAGAGACTAGGTCATAAAAGGC